TATCTAAATACATATATACATCTATACGTTACGAACGAACGCTTTTTTGAGTGACGGACGAAATGTTAACCAAAAACAAAAATTATAAATCTGGCGCACTGAAAAAATATTAATTTTATATTTTATACGCTTGTTTTGTTTTGCCGCTAAAATATTGTGGCGCAGCGAAAATGAAGGAGTTTATGAAAATAACATTTGTTTGCCGTTCGCATAAATATTTGCAACAAAAAAAAACTTTGCGAAAAACAACAGAAACGTAAACTGTAATAAATATACAAGTACATATATATATATATATATATATATGTGTGTGTGTATGTGTGGGTGTGTGTGTGTGTGTGTATGTGTGGGTGTGTGTGTGTGTGTGCAAATTTTAGTTATGAGAGTAAAATATAAACATAAAATTAAACGCAAACTACAATTTTTCTTTCCACTCTCTTTTGGAGTCATATTTTTATGTTACTCCCTTTTGGACGTATACAGATTTTCTGGTTTGCCTTTTTCTTTTTGGCAAGCTATAATTTTTACAAGTTCATTTTTGCCTTTTTGTCGTTTTTTTTAGTTTTTGTTTCTTTTTGCTTTTACCTTTTGACCGTGCCAAAAACAAAAGCAACAAAACCCAAGCCAAATGTGTACTTCCGTTGTCAAGAGTCATCGGCGTGTCTTTATGCCTTTCACGAATATTAGCTGACTGACGGTTTGAATGTCGAAGAGTCCCTTAGTATACATTTTGCACGCCAATAATTGATAAAAGAGTGAAAAAAAGTATCGATATAAGACTACCAGAACTACCAGATAATTTTATAAATTTTGTTATTCGGCCTTCATATGGATGCATAAATAGTTTAAAATGAATGAAAACGGCCATCGAGAACATGTAGCTCCCGTTCAATTGATTTGTTGGTTTTTGGACAACTATCAAGTCCGATTTGTAAAACCCGTCAGCCCGTCCAATCGTATCAGTGGAATCTCCTTCTCTCTTCTATCGCTCTCCTCTCCGATCCATCTCTCTCTTCTTTCGTACTTCCGTCTACCCGTCCATCAGTTCATTCGTCTCCCACCCTTCTATCGCTCCCCCGTCCGACTCGTCTGTCTCCTCTCTCGTACTTCCGTCTACCCGTCCATCAGTCCATTCGTCTACATTGCCTATCCACACATCCGCGCATACATCTTCACTATCCAAACCAGATAAGGGCCTTTTGTAGTATGATGATTTTAAATATTCTTTGAAAGCAACTGTTTACATTTGTAGGTAGCATGCAACTTGACGAAATTCACAAAAACAAATGAAGGGGTAAAATAGCTGATACTACGCCGGCATACCTGAATTCACTATCCCCGAAACGTCTGTATAAAATGGGATCGAGCCAGACCAAAAGCTTTGTAAGAATCCTTGAGCCGTTAGATACTAAACGAGGCTGCAGACAAGGTGTTTCCTTATCGGGTGAATTCCTAAACTTGACGCTGAAGAAAATATAATGAAACAGGCTTCACAGCTAAGCCGAGGTGGTACAATTTTTCAAAGTGAGCTAATAACTTGCCATGCGTCCATAATATTGATATTATTGGTTTTCAGACTGGTTATAGAAGCGATGCAAATAGGTGTGGCCCACGACTTTCTCTCTCGACGAGCAAAGACTAAACCCTACCTAAACTCTAGTAGCCGCGCATCCGCTCATCATTACCGAGTTGTCGATGACGACATCTGATTAGTAGGTACTTGGAGTTTTGCCGAAGATTCATGGTTCTATGCACATTGGTGGCAGCGAATACGGTGGCCGATGGAACGTTGAGCGTACCAGATATACGACGACGTTGACATAGTTCAGCAAATTAAGAGAGCGCGGCTATACAAATGTGTCATGCCTCCTAATGTCACATGCACAATGAAACATCTAAGCTATGTGATGAGAAGCACAATGTTATACTATGCAAGCAATAGCTGCAGGGATAATACCTTCGGATGCTGAACCGCTATGGGAAGACTGGAGTCTACTGACTCCATTCCGCAACCTAATCGGGACGGCTTACCGGCAGTCTTGAAAAGTCATTAACCGAGAGTCCGTCAACACCTTTATGAATTCTCTTTCAGTGAATGATGTTCTCAGAATCCATATTACAGACCAAGAGCCCAAGTGTATAGAAAGACCTGTGTAATGCAGTCACAATTAAGATGGATATTGTAGTTGACTTAATTCGTTTTTATTAAGACTTGACGCCGACATTCCCAACTTATCTCCTGCAAGCGATGAGATCTTGCACGACCTGAACCACCTCTTTCCACGCCCTTTCAATCTTAATCATCTAAGACTCTTTTCCTCCTGGTCCAAACCCGGCGAAACAGCCCGTTTCCTTGATCTACTGTTAGGCAAAGTCATCTCGCCTGCTCCTAAGTAGGGTTGAAGTGTCGCCACAACAACAACTGCAGCATCTACGTCGACCAGGTCGTTCCATGTCCACATGCCCACACAACATCGCTCCTTCATGTGAAAGCTAGGGAAAAGAAAGACCTACCCTCCGTTGCAAAGATCAGGTGGACAAGTACCGGTGCACGGTGCCTATTTCAATAAGGAAGAAGAAGAAAGTCCCAAAGTTACGGTTTAAGTGTTGATAAATCGGTATATAGAACACCAAATATTATTGAACAATTGATTTCGAACATAGATCCCGATGAATTAAATTCGATAAGCGCCGTTCTAAATCGAAATTCGGAAAAGCACTTTATGGGTATGGAAAATTCCGGGATAAAAAAAATTATTGAAATTACATTAACCCTCGGGTGTGTATGGTATAAGCCCAATATAGGCGAAGACCATGCGACCCTCCTGTTTTAGTTTTATATGACTTTTGTTGCTGTAACTCTTTTCATATTTGTTGTCATAATAATATTGTCCTACTCCAGCTAGCAACCGTGATATTTTATGCTCCTCTCTACGTCACTGTACTTGCGGCGAGTTTTATCCATGTTTTTGCCCTGTTTGATATTCGTCTGTTTGTTTGTAAGTTACCAATTGATTGAATTGCGAAGGAGAGTTGAAGTTAATCAATAAATATTGGAATTGCAAGAGATGAAGAAATTACAGTACCAGTTCTTGCCCATCGCAATCTCTAATTCTTACAAAAAAAAAAAAAAAAAAAACGACGGAAACATTCTCTATAGCAAAAAGGCTCGGTTACGTAGACTAAGAACACTGAAGACATGAAATTTAGAACTCGTGTGAAACTTAGATCAGACACGGCACAAGAAAGGCGGCAAGCTCATCGGATTACTTAAAATTCCCGCTGGATTTAGGCGAGGGAGAGTAACAAATTTTTTTTCGACTTTCATACAACTGCTAGAAGTCACTTGAATCTTCTTCTTTTTTATTGGCGTTGACAACGTTTACGCGATTATAGCCGAATCAATATTAGCCCGCCATTATCTCTTCGCATTTTGGCGCAAGTTGGAAATACCAAGTGAAACTAGGTCACTCTCCATCTGATCATTCCAATGGAATGGATGTCTTCCTCTACCTCTGCTTCCACTAGTGGATACTGTATCAAATACTTTCAATGCTAAAGTGTTGTCATCCATTCGGACGACATGTCCTAGCCAGCGTAGCCGCTGTCTTTTCTTCTACTGAACTATATAAAAGTCACCGTATAACTCGTTTAGCTCATCGTTCCATCGTCTTCGGTATTCGCCGTTGCCAATGCGCAAAGGTACGTCACTCGTTCGAAAAACTTTTCTCGCGATGACTTCTAGAGCCGACTCAAGAGATATTGATATCGTCCACGCTTCTGTGCCATATAGTATTTAGAACGTGTATGATTAGCGACTTTACAAGAGATGGCTTTAGTGAACTGCGATTGATTGTACCTAAATTGCATTAGATGTAAAAGAAGGAAGGACAATTGTCGAAAATATCGATAAAGTATAGGAAATTGTCGAGTCCGACTGTCATGCGAGCACTGTTTGGACTGCACAGAAGCTAGAGATAGGAATTTGGAACCATGTGAAAATGGCTGGATACACAAAGATGGATGTGGATGATGACTGGTGATGAAAAGTTTATAACTTGCAGCAACGTCAAGCGAAAATCGTCTTGATCGAATTGCAGTGAGCCGGCACGGATTCATCCACTAAGAGCTGCTCTCCGACAGTCAAACTCGTCAAACTCTTATTTTGGACCTGCACATGTTGGCAACTGAGCCGTCTGAAAGAAGCAATCGGCAGGAAACGCACATCTTTGGCCAACAGAAGGGAAATTGTGTTTCATCAGGACAACGACAGACCACGCATATCGATAGTGACTCGCCGGAAACTCAAAGAGCTTGGTTGGGAGGTTCTTATGGGTGCACCTTATAGTCCCGAAATTGCACCAAGTTTCCAGTATATGGCGACACAATGATCAAAAACTAACTGAAAGCGTCTCCAGACCTTGCTTCTTCCAACTACTTGTTATTTCGACTTATACAAAACGAGTTTGGTGGTCACCGGTTCGGGTGTTTTGAAGAAATCGTAGAATGGTTAAATAATTGCATCGAAGACTGAGAGGGCGCATTTTTTAGAGATGATTTTTAAAAAAATAGTAGAGAGATGGAAAAAAGTTACCGCGTTCGATGGACAATAAATACTTTAAATAATGTATTTTTCGTACTTTTTTCAATATGTGAACACAAAGAAATGGGCAATGTATGTCGACGGGGAAGCACAACTCGTATTACATTTCGATAAAAAGTTATTTAAAATGTTTTTGGAATTTGACATACATACTTAACAAAACAAAAAAACACAATTATTTTAAATTAAATAATTAAAATGCAGCCGTTAATTAGGAAATGGCAAATTTGTTAGTATTTCTTATTCGTACGTACATACATACGTACATATGTAGGTGCAAAGTGATAAGTGTGCTGTGAACTCTTAAATCAGTTCAAATAAGATTCATTAGCATATTTAAAATATTTTGATAATAAAAAAAAAACGAGAAGCTCGTACGAGTAAAGCGTTTTTTTACCTTATTTTACGATACAGTTATCAGCGATCAATATATATTTTGTTTTTAAATTTCTTTTATTTTAACTGCCTCAAACAACGGAAAGAAAATTAAAATTGTTGAACTTTAAACGAAATTTTTTTTTATTTTTCTTTTTAATATTATTTCTTATTTTTTATTTTGTTTTGCGGCACAATAATTTCACAAGTAATATATTTTTGCTTATACCTGTTTTTGCACGTTTTTGCAATTTGTTTAAGAAAAAATATGTATATGAATTGAGTGTAGCTTTATTTCAACTTCCTTCATTTGAAGTTGCTAACTTTCAAAGGAAACACTTAACGGTCGTTTTGTTTTTTATTATTTGTAGTTTTGGTGTGGTTTGTGAAAGAAATTTTTTTCCAGTTTAATACAATTTATTAAGGATTTTGTGTTCTTTGATTAATTGGACTTTAACAGTCGTATTAATCATATATATTATATATTTACTTTTGTCTATGATTAGTATGTATTTGCTTGTTAGCGATTTTAAATGTTTTAGTTTAAATTATTTATTTGGAAATTTATTTCGTAACTGTATGTAATAATTTTTTATTGTATTGTTGTCATATATTAATATCTGTTTAATTAATAAATTTTTTAATTGTTGTATATTTTTTTAAATTCAATAATCAATATTTCTTCTGCTGCTTACTCGCACTTTTTAGCATTCTTATATTATTTCAGATTAATTAATGAATTTTAAATTCTTCAATTGTCGTATTTTTTAAAATTTAATAATCGATATTTCTTTCGCCTGTTACTCGCCTCTTCTAGGACTTCATATAATAATTTCTGTTTAATTAATTTTTTTTTTTAATTTAGAAATCTTTGTATTTTTTAATATTTAGTAGTCCATATTTTCCTGTATTTTACTCTCTTCATATAATAATTTCTGTTTAATAATTTTTTTATTTTTAAAATGTGAAATTTTTTTTATTATTTTATAGTCGATATTTAGAATTCGTATAATAATTTCTGTTTAATTAATTATTTTTTTTTTAATTTTGAAATTTTTGAATTTTTAACAATTAATGAACGATATTTCCGCTGCCTTTTACTCCCACTTATTAAACTACTGTATTAGCTTCATATTATTACACTACTCTTTATCGTTCACACGCCGTCCATATTTTTTTTTTTTTTTGGTAACTCTCTTCCTTGCTTGGAGGACAAAGCCTCGTAAAACAAACAAATTTAAAAATCAAATATATTGTTCTTCAATTTTTAATAAATTTTTGTTTTATCTTTTAGAAGTTTAATGTATTTTTAAGTTTTTTCGATAAGCAATATGCTTGCAAAACTAAATTTTATTTTCAATTTCTCTTCACTTGCGACGATACACAAAATATTAAACTTAAACGTTTGAAATCTCGTAGTAAACTAACTTTCAAAGGTATGCGAACGGGTGAGCAAGTTCGCTAGAAATTAAACTCAGGGCGAGAGTTCTCACAAACATACTGATATATGTGGGTACGTATAAACATACATTTGTATTGGAAACGTTGAGAATGAGCGCTAGCAAAACGCGCACCTGTGCCGCGACGAGGCAACAAGCCAGCTCACTAATACACAACACACCTTAGTAACAACTCTGAGTGCCTCAACGCCTCAGCGTCTCAGCGTCGAGCTCAGACCAGCGAGCATATATCGAGGCTGCCTGCAGTCAAAGCCACACAATCTTGCTATTGTTCACCTTTGTTGTTGTTGTTGTTTTTTTTTCCGTTCAATATATGGCATAATAATAATAATAAAAAATAGAGAGTTTAAATCGGCAGCAATTGACTAAACAAAAAATGATGAAAAGGGAAGTTAAACCACGCGCGGTTGACAAGTTCAAGTCTCAATGTCTCAGCTCGCGCAAGTCCGTTACGCATTTAACTACTAACTTAGGTGTACATATAAAATAAAATGAGTAACTACAATGAAATGCGAACACAAACTTAAACGGAAACCACAAAAGCTCAAACAGAGCAACTACATACATACATATATTGTAAATAACGTATGAACGAAGGTGAGCTGTATGCGCTCCGCTCTGTTCTCTTAGCAGACAACGTTTGGTTGGGCTTCTGTTTTGGTTTTGCCGGCTTTTAAGCCAAGCTCAATGCTCCGCGTTTTCACTGTTTTTTTTACGGAGGCAACTTGCAACCACAACATCGCACCTTCCAACACAGTGCTGGCAAGTTGCAACGTAAAGTGACTTTTTCTTTCGCCACCACTGTTGTGTTACACTGCTGGTTTTACGATACGTTACAACGTTGTTTGTAGGGTACTGAAATACGATTAGAAATGGGCTGGGCAGGCAATATCCTTCAAAGAGGCAATGCGTTCGCTTGGTAACAGAAAATCAACAATCGATTATTACGCTGTTTTACTCACATTACTTAATATTCATTCATTGTGGGGACGCAGCGCTTTAGGCGCTTTAGCGCTTTAGCCAAGTAAGCCGTATCAAGCGAATCGTTTATTCCTCTCGCAGTGCTTTTCTTTTAAATACACCAAATGTAGGCACTGATAATTCCTATGGAATGTGTGTCCTTCTCTAACTCTGCCTCCACCAAAGGGGTACTGCATCGAATACTTCTAAAGCTAGAAGGGTTTCATTCATCCCAGTGACTTCTCTTATCCGCTGTTCCTTTAATCGTTATGCCATATCAATGGCGCCGTGTCTCTCTTACAGTAGATTGTCCATAAATCTAACACTAAACCTTTCTCTCAGAAACTCTTCGTTTTGCCTCATCTGATGTTTGTCGTTGTTGAATCCACTGAATCATATGTATAATTGGCGCTTTGTAACCGCTGAAGCGATTTTCCGCTGAGCTCCTTCTCCAATTTGTGTTTTTTTTTATGAGGAACTTTATTTTATGTTAGAAGTACACTCGAAGGGGTTGACATTCCCAGCCGAGGGGCGGCCGCAATTAGAAAATTTAATTTAATTTTTTATTAAAATTATTTAAGTTAATTTTCTATAACTTTTTGAATATTAGTACGACACCAGAATTTCAACCCGAGCCTTCCGAATGGCGAGTCAAATAGAAAGCCAGAAATGATGAGCAGCTTGTAGAGCGTAGGCTTTATTCGTTGAGAGCACCTGAAAGCTCTGTCGGTTTCTGGATCAGATTTCAAGGCTGACATTGTTTTGTTGTTGTTCGAATCCTGACAGTTTCAATATCCAAGGAAAAATACTTCTAACTGCAGCCGCCAATAGTTAGGGATTGCGTTTTTGGCATAAAATAAATAAAATGGCTTTGAGAAAACTGCAAGTTCTTCCATTTGTAAGAGACACAACAAGATGTACACCATAAGTTATAGCAGCGTCTCGGATGAAAATCGAAATTTGCTACAAATTTTTAACTATTACCATCAAAAGTGATATGAAGCCCATGTGTGTCTTGTCCTCATTCATCGCCAGATCCACTTGCTTCACTTCTTTGCCCGATTTGGCTAAAGTAGAAATAAGAAGCCTGTTGTTGAGACCGAGCATATCTTGGTCATCGTCATACACCAAGAATTATAGAATTTTTCAGAAGATTGTTTTAAAATCACACTGAGGAGAGTCACTTTGCAGGAAACTGCATTTGTCTGTGAACATCTCGATCTTGGACTTAGCCAACTCTGATGGTAGCTTCTTTTCGTTCTGTCGCTGGCAGCTTAAAAATCAACAAAGACATACTCTGTCGATTTTTTTTTCCAAACGCAGAGGTGGAGATTCGAATGGATTAGACAGAATCAGAGCACATTCAGATGCCAATCGCTGCAAAGAATATGTAACTTGGAAACTCTTCGTGGACATGTTGAAACAGCTTAGTCTTACCAATATTATTTTCTTTCGCTTTCTTACTCTACAAGTTGGCAATCCATTTCAAATAAGTATGCTGATAATGTCTTCGCTCCATAATTTCAACACGGCAGTGATCAGTTGGAAAAGGTTCTGGTCTTGAAACCAACTATTAGTCGCCTTAGTAGGTTCTCAAACGATGCTCTTTTGCGCACAGGTCTCAAGTCGAAGAATGGACAATCTCAAATAAAACACATTTTCCATTTCTTTTAAGGTTTTTTTGAAGAAAGCAACAAATTATTGGAATTATCTTAATTTGACGATGTTTTAGCCACAAAAATGAAATTACTAACCGGTCATACCCAGCGTTAATTCGCAAAGCAACAAGATTTTATTGTAGTTGCTGTCGATATCGTTTATGGAATTCCCAAATATTTATTTTCCAATTGTTTCCGCTTATATGAGTAGGTAAGAGTGTGCACTGACGCTCTTTGTGGTTATAATCTTCTTATCTCTACACATTACCTAATTATACGATGACTCAGTAGCATAATTATGCCAAGAATGTGTAACCACATTCATATATACATACATACATATATACTCGCACATACCTGTATATACAAACTTTAACCTTTGTTATACTCAGGTACAGATGAATATTAAGTTCGTTTACCTACCTATCCGCAGCAGCATAATTGTCTAATATTATTTAAATACCAAATCTCCATGAATGAAGAGTAGATTCGGTTCATTTGCTCACAATGAGTCCAGCGGAAATTAACCGTTAATTTTGATTAAGACCAATAAACCGCGACTATAATCTTAACAGCCGCGCTTACGGCGATCGAAAAGAAAAGGTAATATTGACTCTGGTGAATGAGCGAATGCTCAAATAGTTCTCTTAATCGACGATCTGGACATTTCACTTTACACTTTGGTTCAGTTATAAAATTAGATGTTGCCAATAATCCGGTCCGACGAAAGTATGCCGCACTATAAGTGTATTCAGTTCAATCCATAAAAGGGGGAACCACTCGGTCTACGCTGGATGTAGGGTGACGGATTGCTGACGCATGAGAGGACACTAAACAACGACTATATGATGACATTTGACAACGAACGTAGCGAGGACTAAATAAGGAACTTTTAAAAATTAGAAAAAAGAACAGTCAGTTGAAGTTGCACGGTTGAAGAAGATCTTAAACGTGCGCTTTAATCAATTCGGGTGAGCATTTCTACATAC